GTACGGTCCCCCTCAAAATATTTTGGGGGCCCTGCCCCCTCACATAACGTCATCGGTTTTGTACATAAAACAAGTGTATGCATTTGCAAAAGTTGATGTACGTCATAACTATAAGTCTATGATTGCCCCTGCTTTTAGGAGTATATCTATCAAAAATGTTTATCGATGACGATAAAAGGCCGAGACAGGTATAGCCAAATACTTTTGAAAACAAAGTAACTTAACTTACGGCTGACAAGTTCATCCATGAGAATTTCTCTTAAAGCTTTTTTCTTGCATTCCAAACCGCAATCKGTTAAAATACACAATCATAAAAAGGCACGAAAATTCCGGTACGAAACAGCAAATAGTAACAAAAGAAACAGGGTTGAAATCAAAAATTAGCTCTTACCTGTATCTCTTGCAGCATTCTCTCTTGATGCATCTAAAAAAATAGGGCCGTAAGGATAAATATTCATCGATTAAATCACATTCTTTAATGAATATTTATTCTATATGTCTATTTGAGACCTATTAGCCTCCGGGGCATCCGAACATTTACTAGTCATAAAATTTACTATTGCAAAACACAGGATGCACCGCAGGCCAAGTGTCACTGATACTCATTAATTGAATATATGAACCTTGTTTTAAATCGTCCAATAAATCTTTTGGTATTGAATCGTCACTGTTATCAAAACCTTAAACCAAAAAGAAAGAAAATACTGAGAAAAGGGCAGAATCAATTGAAAAGCAAAAATCTTCTAGTTTACCTGGATCCCTAACGCGTYCTTTTTTTCCTTGAAATCACAGCAATAGAGTGAAGTTAACAACAATTTAAACAGCTATATTCGGTATCTTACTAAACGACTTACTTGATTCTAAATCATTTAATAGTTCCCTTGTCATTGGTTCATCATCTTCTTTAGGTTCTTTAATAATAGAAATATAAAAATACRAATAAATAAAAAACATTTCATACACCCTCACTCCATAGTGATTGGCTTTCATCTAAATCGTTGACATTGAAGAGTGCCGGTCCCGAAATTAGTAGTTAGTCACTACAGAAACTCTTGATTTTAAAAACTAAGTACAGAGTGAGGTGATGGTAGGTAAATCTGTGAAATTTTCATGATTAGAATCGCTCAGTTGCGATRAAATCCTACCTGAGGCTAAACTATCAAGCAGTTGTTTTAGATCTTCTTTCTGACCTTCGTCTTCATGGCCATCGTCTTTATGACCATCTTCATTATGACCRTCATCGTTAAGATGTTTTTGGCGTTCTGAAAATAGATAATAATAGTCACATTCCAGTATTTAAAATTGCATTGAAAACGGACAAAGCCGAGCGATACACAACAACAAAAACAACAAACAAACATAAACACTGAATGAACTTTTGGCGGGAAATTTGMATGACGGATTAGTTTGGAGAACGTATCAAATAGAAATTTCCCACTAAAATTAGAGAATTAATTAGGAAGCTAGCTAATTAACTTGTTATTTTTCATTTTAGAAGATTTATTTGTTTAAAAATAAATTAAAAAAAATTAAAAATCCGCCACTGTCCATCTTCTCTCACGATTTTTGAAGCAAAAGTTGACGGTCAAAAACTAAAGAAAAACTCGTTGGATTCATATCTTAAGCTTGTGGGTGACTTTTCCTATATCAGTTCAAATAGGTTCTTCATGGTATTTAGAGATCGATTTAAATGGAATAAAATCAAGACCGCGATAACCATATATTTTACCTCGACGGTCTATAACATCTAATAATAACTTGGCCAGCTTTTCTTTTTTATCGTCTGCAGCATCTACGCAAAGTGAATATTGAAAAGAACTAATAARTATTTTTTTCAAATGCATTACAAGCAAAAAGAGAAAAGAGCATTACCTTGCTCATATTTATCCATTAATTCTCGTGGAATAGAATCACTGTTATCCTGAGGACCAGGGCCTAAAAAAAATGGTTCCAAGTCAAGGAAAATATAATTTTACAAACTTCTAATCCAAGGGCGGRTCCGAAGTGGGGGRCCGAGAGGGTTAATTAGGGTAAATAGCCAATAATCCCTTTTTGGACCTCGAAATATATATGAAGACATTATGATATGTTAATTCAGTAAATAGAAGAAAATAATACATCTGAACAGGATTCATTCTGTAAAACAACTAAAGCAGCGTTTATCTCAAAGAAATTTCATTTTCCCACAGCCCTATACCTATTCTATTAAGAAATTATTCTTGAGTTGCCAGCAACTCTAATGAATGCTTCAACTTGACGTTCTTTTGGAACATACCTGATTTTAGATCCTCTAGTAGTTCTWTTGGAATCTTATCGGCCTCGTCATCATTGTCTTGAGKGACTACATATAGGAAAACATTGCGGAATGTAAATAAAATCAAATAAAGTTTTCAAAGRTGATATGTTTGRTTTGTAAGTGTTTTTCAGCAGATAGTAGTGATTTTTTTAGCAGCTGTTTCACCCACACAACAATCCACTAAGAAACCTCGCCTGTACATCACTAATCACTTACATTTGCTTCCAAATCGGTCTGCAGCATCCATAGGTGACGAATTTTCTTCTGACAAAAATACAAAAATATATTACAGTCTTCTTGTTTGTTTCCTGAACAATATTGAAAAGTATTAGTGTCCTTGAATCAACTGTATCCTACTTATATTGCAGAGGCTGCTCAGTGTAGTCTCCTTCGCAGCCTATTCTTTTGTCGAGCTCCCTGTTTCTAAAAAGGTTTAGAATGCGAAGAAGTCTACAATCTTGGACAAAAAGAGTTAAATTTGTGTTTCGAAGATCACACATATTTGCTAAATTCTCTTTGGGTACCAACGAGCGTTAAGTAGATCTATGCTGAATGGTGAATCATTGTCAATTTTTTTGTCCATGATATTAGTGTAACTTCAGTGAAAGGCACAGCTACTTTGATGGCTCAGGAATCTGTGGCTATGAACTATATGCAATGAAATTTAGAAGGAACGCTGAACACCTCAGTGAAGCTATCTATACCTTGTGATGACAAATGATCYAACAATTCCTTAAATGTCGATTCCATATCATCTTCTTCTAGTGCTTTATCTGTGAAAAAATGAAGCAAATGAGTGTCCCTGCATTGTAGCCYCCTTCGCAGGCAACTCTACTCTGTGTGATTCCTGTGTTAAGGCAAAAAAGCTGCCGGAGGGGGAGGGGGAGGGAAAGGGGGCTAGAAAGGAAGGAAAAGCAGGAGGGGCTAGGGTCCTCTTACTCGTTGTTTCTAATCTCTTGACACCAGTTCTTCTCGGTAAGATCATGAACACAGGAAGACCAAGAAGAGAAAAATGTCCGTTTCCGATGGAGTAGCCTGCGAAGGAGGCTATGCCCCTGCGACTGTACCTTAGTTTGAAAGTGTCGAACTGTGTTTATCAATCTCCTACAATTTTGTGATTCGAGCGATTTTTATACAGTGAAACYATAAAGGATAGCCGTGCTTTTATGCCAAARGTAAGGCCGGCAACARTGAGCTTTGTAAAAATAGGACCTGCTTGTAGGATACGAWCTAAAAAGAYGTACTATACTATAAGACTATCAACCGATAACACGCATCGATGTAAGGGCATGGATTAAGGCGCTGTTACACTTTGGAATTTTCTTATCAACAACTTMTTTGACAATGCRTTGTAAGAAATGGAAYTCAAGCCTACTTTTCGCAACCCAGGACAGCGAATTCTAGCTCTGGTGTACAGMGCCCCWCSAGMGCCTTTGAGGCCCAGCTTGCACAATTTCTGAACAGTTCCAGTTACTAGGGAGTACACTGTGCATAGAAAGCCGTTTCTGAATATCACATTCTAACAGAATGTGTGATACGGTATTATTGTTGCGATCAGACGCAGGTACTGTACGCCAGGAGACTATAAGTGTTTTACAGCTTTATACTAGTATTAATTATTATTCAATCAGTTTAAGCAGTAWGTTTTGTATTACCTGTCTCCGCTCTTTTTGTGTCTTTAGTTGATTCTCCTTCAGGGACGAATCCTGAAAGGACTAAATCAAATATGATCGTTTTTCAATTCTTAGGACAATAAAACTATATCTGTTTCAGAGAAGAGTTGAGCTCCAGGTTTAAATCCAGGATTTTCTTCAGGGAGGATTTAGGTGAGGRGTTACTCCACGAATGGTCATAAAGAAGGAAAAAAATATATATAAAAATTGCAAAAACAAAATAGGGAAAAGCAAAAAGGATATCAACAAAACAGTTTTAGACGTTTGATGCGAATTTAATGGAAAGGAAATGCTTTATAATGATTCATAGATATTTCCAGACATGCATGCATTATCGGCAGGAACCGACAAAATGTCTTTCAAATTCTGGGATGTTTATAAAGCGTATTCAAACATTTCGTCTTGAAAGTGACGTAGTAGTAAGTTCTTTAACGATAATCGCTGGTCTGAGTTCGARCCTCAATTTAGGCCTGGATCAAATAAATGCGCATCTTGCGTTGCTTGATAACGTTTTCCAAGTACGGCTTCCTATAGCTCGGCAATATTCAACTTAGTGCTGTTTGATTATATAGTCAGTAATATGCAGTGATCAGAATATATTGTTTGTCSTCAGTTGCCCATTGGAGGATATATACCTGCCATAATTCAAACTAACCTGATTTATAAATTTTACCATAGTTAACTACGATTTTATTGTCAGCATCATTTTCTATAAGAAATAAAAGTGCAATATTGACCAAGTTGGCCAAGCAAACTCCTATTCCCTGACTGCAAACCATCAATAATTACCTGATGTATCAGCTGCTTGACTTAAGATGCTTGCAAGATCTGAATGGAGCAGATGACATGGGTTGAATCCATTGGGAAAATACATGTTTTTAGCTACTACAATCACCCAAAAATATTRGTTCGCGCAATATTCCAACTTATCACTAAAAAATATTCTTACTCCAATGAGAAGTGAAGTGGGGTATTTTTAGTGCGAATTTTCGATATTCCAACTACTGCAGATCTGAAGATAGCGTATACCGAAATTTGGATTTTGGAGATTGGGGAGCCTTTTCAGAAGGTYCAGAAGATTTTTCAGTTGTGGATCCCAACACTCTTCAAGTCTGCTGCAGAATGCTCTTGCGCAAAATCAAAACAAAAAGGTGGAAAAACAGTGGATACAAACATTTCCGACTACAAGGCCTCAGCTACTATAATTTGTAATGCCGTCTCAAAAAAGAAAGTCTTCCCTGTAATCATATCAATGGTATCACATCAATGAAATATTCCCCGCCAAAACCGTTTGTAACTGATCGATGACAGATAAGTATCCGACGCRATACGAGTATCGSATATCAAGCGCACKKGAAACAAAAACCGTTACATATTTTGACTCCAAACTTGTTACGTTTATCAATCAGGAGTTCCCATAGCAAATTCAACAGGAAAAGTATTGATAAAGCTACTAGAAACTGCTATATAAACTGCGAATTGAAATGGTGGAATTCCATTGATCTTTCCAGTCAAATTGCGACCAGTCTTTGAATTACGCAGATAGTTCCAATTCATATCAACACACAATCATACAAACGAGGAAGAAATTCATAATCTTATACTCATGCACTGGTACTTGTACCACAGAGTATTGCAACGGCAAATTGTTGTGGAAACAATGAAGGTTATATATCCTACCAGTAGCCGTTTTTTTTTACTCACTTGTTTGTCAAGACACTCGTAAAGCGGTTAGAACTAGTCTACCAACGTTATAGAATTGTTGTTGATCTTCCCGCTCAAACAAATCATTGCATGACATGCATTGTTTGCCAAACGGTAATGAGACAATAACTGAACATTTTGACTGACTGTCCAAACGTTTTACATTGTAAACACATAACATCTCTCTAACCTTTGTCAATCTCGCTAAGGTTGTCTTCAGGCACAGCCCTTGATTTGGAAAAAGATACAAGGACTAACAAAATGATTACAACGCTCCAGAATTTCGAAGCCATCGTGATTTTAAAAATTGGTATAAAAAGAATAGCTTCGTTTCAGCACAACCAAGCACAAGCGCAAAGTAGCAGTAAACTGAATGTTTGAACTGACTGAACCGCTTTCTGCATACATGTTATCCAATYAAATAACGCCACGTCACGTAACACGATAGCACATATAAATCTATTATAAAATATCACGTTAGAAATTCGAACCGCTTGGAACGTCTGCTACAGAGGCTAGTTAGGAATTACTTTGGGAATTTTAGTCTTTCCGCGTCATATAGGCGTTTACATCAACACTTATTAAAGATTATTTTTCCTTTCCTCTCCTTCTTTTTCTTTTCTGCTCTTTTTCTTCTTCTAATTTTTTGTCGATCTTTATTTAAGAAATATTGAACGGCGCGCGTCTCTGTCCTCTGATATCTGATATAAACACGGTCGTCAGCCAATCAGAGCGCGCGTTATATACGCTCCTGGAGCGTGAAGTTGGACTAGCTATTTTTGAAAATTGATTAGACACGAGCTCGACGGATTGAAAAATGACCCTAAAAGGTCCGCATAAATTTATTCAGGTGTCGATTACAGACCCTAAAATCCTAAAAGGTATATATGTGACCATTTTTGACTTCTTTTTCAAGAGAAAAGCTCAAGTTTAACAAACTGTAGAAAATCAATGTCGATAGACCTGATAACAGGTTAAAATATAGGTTGCTGAACAAGAATATGTTTCTTTGCATTTTTTTTTTTCAACTTCGTGAAAAATTCAAATTCTTAACTCAGACTGTCTGAAGCCATATAACTCATATAGATCAAATCTAATATTAGTATGTAGTGTTTTTTCATATATTTCATATATAGTTGTCAGTTTTACACGTATGGTGTGATTGATAAGTCAATGTTGTGCCTCGATGACAGCATTGCCTAGCCTTATATATGTGTTTCAGGACAATCCGTTCCGATATACATACGTTCATGTGCTCTGGTATGAATCAAGAAATGACRGGTTGTATGTGGACAGGGTSTGAAAGGAACAAATAGGAAACGACAACTCTCCAATAAATCAGACAGAAAAAACTATACTGTTCAACAGTGTATTAGTTATCGATCTCCTTGCTATAAATGTATGGAAAACACAAGGAAGTTTACTATAAAAGTGTAAAAATGTATGAAAATGCAGCGTTATTCAATTCTTGGCCATCTGTTTCTCCCCAGCATTCCAAGACATGACAGTCAAGTATTACTTGGAAAGCTTTGTTTGATAATATCTACAAGCTGATTTTCGTTGTCTTGGTTTTTCATAAAATAGAAGTGACCGCCAGATAAAACATGTCTGACGAAGTGGCCAGTAGTCATTTCACTCCAACCTAGTAAATAAATAAACACAATAGGGATCACTTTAAGTTTATTGGAGCTTAAATACTGTTATTGAGCGTACAGAATTTTTGTCAGGATTTTCAACAGGAAAGTTTGCGCGCGTAGATATGATGCGCTCGCGTCATTTGGCGGGAAATTTGAAACGTGACACGGTCCCGAAAAAGAAGAAATCTGCGAGCGCTGAGAAAAATTACGAAGTAATTTTGTCTATTACTTTATTAAATTGTACTATATATTATTTCAAGTTTATCATCGATTCTTCCATTCTAGAATGGTACTCACATACCTTCCTGGTCTCGAAGATCGTCCTTTCCATCAAAACAAGTAATTGGACAAGACAACACAGGAACAAASGAATCTTCGACGATAAACCTGTTAAAATAAATCGAGACTATTATTTTGTGTATCTTATCTGGCGCTGAACGTGCGAAAAATAAACGTTAGAATGTTTATTTAATCATTTTTTAATCATGGATATTTTTCAATCGTGTAACTGTAAGGCCCGGCTCACTCCAGAACATTCTTCGTTTTCAAGTAACGTCACAGCGGTCATCTTGGAGGAACTTCAATTGCTTCAACAAAGGATTTCTCATTAGTATCTATTGTTCATTCCTCCAACATGCCCACCGGTCTTTTATCTTTTGAATCTCATAGAAGAAAGGGTTTCTTGTTAGTGCGGACTAGATATAACATGAGCAGAACCATTATAAGACATACAGAAATAAAACTGTTTCCATTATCTTGCGTTTTTGCTTCTGCTAAGCTTGTTATGAAAAAATACGAGTGATGGACCATGAACATAATGTGTTTACTTCTGTTTCTCGCATCATTGTCCCCCAAAAACATAATTCTGAATGCTTTTATTATTTCTTTATTTTTATATTTTCCAAAACCATAATTTTAATTAATTACAAAGAGAAAGGGAAGATTTAATTTATGTAAAGTTAAATTGAAATGCAAAACATTACTTGCGTCATATGAAACTGTCACTTCTTCTTTGACAATGTGAGCCATACACTGTCTTCATTAAAAAAAATATTGAGACATTGCACTCGAAACAAAATTGACTAGCTGTTAAACCTTAAAAGATTCTGAGACCATGCCAAATATTCTTTTTATTTCTACATTTCAAAATAAAAATTTGCCATCTGTTATAGAAATAYCATTGACAGTAATCTTTGCACAAATCAGGAACAATCTTAAGTGTATATTGCCTGGGCCTCATTAGTCATTCATACAATTAGAAATATAAATACTAATTAATGATAAGAAATTAATGTCATTAGCACAAATAGATGAATACCTGTAGTTCTCAACAAGGGTAAGATCAGCTCTAAGGATGCGAACACTAATGTCCATGATTTCCTTATTATCAAGTATGGCCTGTGGTGTTCCTCCCCAGTTTCTGATCTTGTCAGCAAGTTGCTCATTACTTATCTCAGCAATGCTTCTGGGGGATTTCCGTACAACCTTAACAATAAAAGGAATAACATACTATTACATAACATGAGTGATACTAGCATGACAGAGATTGTAGAGATGAAAAACATTYAAATAACCTTCCCTAGAGCTATACTGTCAGTAAACTATTGATTAAAACTATAAAGTAAACTTTATTTCAATAACATTTTGAAAAACACTTAAGAGTAGTTTTTATTAACCCGTGAAATACACTTTAGCATACTTCACTTCATCATGWTTTTTTCTTTGTCTTTTTGTTGTATCACAGGTTATTACACTTTCTTGTTTCATGGGTTATTAAAGACTGTAGGTTCTATTTCAGTGCTCAATATCAATAACATAAATTTGCTTAATTACCTGTGGTGCAGAYGCACTAGAAATAAGTAGATGCATAGGCTCTATTCCATGCTTTGTCTTGAGACATCTAGCTGCTTCAAAACACATAACTGCTCCCATACTATTTAGGGAACAGTACAGTCAAATCAACAAGAGATGAAGAAATTCAAACACGTATATTTACAAGCATGTGTCTCATGTACACTGATAAGTGATAATGATGATAAACTGACAAATATTAATATAAGTTAGACTAATAGTAATAAAAATAAGTGGAAGGAAGATCAACTTTCTGTAGATCAACATTTACATAGGATGAAAACAGCATAAACATTATTTTAGATGCCAGCCTTCCCCCCCACCCCACCCCCCTATATCTGCACTGCTTCTTACCTATGTCCCCAGAATATAAAAGGATGTTTCTGTCCCAAAGTGTTGTAGATATCATCACAAAGATCGCTGATTAGTGTTGTCCATTCTGTTAAAAAAGGTTCTTTAAATCTTCCTTCTCTTCCTGGTAAGCAAATACTGTGGACTATTACATGTAAAACAAAATGAGTGCTTTCAAATATGCTTTACAAGAGATAGCCTGCATTACATCCAGTTTTATTTGCCTTTTTTTTTGTTTGCCTTGCCAAATAAAACCAGATGTAACGCAGGCTATACATGAGAAAGATATGCTTTTGAGTATAACTATTGCATACTGTATAACTACTTAAGCTGCTTTCAATTTGCAATTAATTTTTTTAGTGAAACGTTAAACTTATAAAATTGTGTTTTTTCTAAGTACTTAAACAATAGAACTCCTTATCAAGCTACTCAAGTCTTGTTCATAAACAACGGACTGCAGTCAAGTGCTCTAGTTCACAATCAGTTCGGCTGAATTTTTTTTTCAAAATATAATTATTTTGTACAACTCCCAAAACAATTATTATGTTGTAGTACTAAAGGCAATTTGAAAAAATTGCAAAGTCTTTCATTGAATAATCAAGGAGGAATGGACAACTACACTACTTTGCCTTGTGTAGCCCATAAGCCTGAGAAGTCGGTCTCTTGTTTTAATATTCACCAAACATTAGTCTAACTAAAACTGAATATCATATGAAAGTACAAAAAACGGAAATAATGAGACAGTGACATTGGCAGATTGCTTTGCTCTAGTGAGACTATGGGCTATTACAAATGCCCCATGGGTATGTAGTCAGACAGTATGTATTTATTTGTAATAGCTCATACAGTATGTCTCGTATAACACTTGCTATTCATAATAGCCCTTAGACCGGCAACCAAATATCATAATGTCAAAGTTTTTCCCATTTTTGAATTGTTTGTTATTCAGTTTTGGTTCCATAGTTGGTGAATATTAAAACAATTCTACCGGCTCCTGGCCTCATTGATTACATGCTATAGCTCAGGTTTCAGCCTTGTGGACTATTGTCTTGTAGTCTATTTGTCCTCAAGGCCTAATTACTAAATATTCAACTTTAATGGTAATAAGACCAATCAATTTTTAATCAAAATTAGGATGAGATGATAGACTGAGCTAGAATAACATTTTTTATACAATTCATACATTACATAAAAACAATGTACTACTATAAGATAATGATAACAAAGTAGCCTGWTCACCTGTTTCAATGCTAGAAAACACCATTGACACCATGTCTGACATTCCTCTTTCAATCATTGGTAGAAAAATCAATTACTGAWATTTTTTGTAAGAAATGAATAATTGACTTCCTTATTTTTTATTTGTGGGATTTTAGGGTAAAATGTAGTTACAATAACCAATATCACCTCTATACCTACAAAATCATTCATAATGAATGGATTTGCCTAAGTAGTTGGTGCTAAAAACCTAACACTTTGAGTARATATTTTAGTACAAAAAAATAACATGTTATTCCTAAATTGTTTCAATTACTACAATAACTACATAGAAATTCATATTCCAAAATTAATGTTATTCAAATTAATTGACATAATGACAGACAAAACTTAATAAAGAATATTATACACAATGACTTTTAACAAGTTTGCCAAGTATAAGTAAGATTTTCTTGAATATGTTAAAGTGGCAAAATTTTCCTGCAAGCTTATATGACATGGCAACAGTGAAATTCTACCCCTAAAGGGAGACCTTTCTGAGGATATCTGCAGTGTCAGTAAACCATCCCAGTTAGCTGGTTTCTTTGTATTTCTGGATATTCTGCTTCATTGCTTTGAGCTTACTATTGAATTACATACTTTTATATGCTCTGCTGTGGCTCCAGTACCTACAGAAGCATGCAGCCCCTAATAACAAGGCAGACAAAAAAACAACAAAAGAAACAAACACCAACAAGCTTAGATTAAATTACCAGGCAGTTGATCAGAACTTATAAAGTAACTTTTAAAAATAAACTGACCTATCATTACGTGCACTGCACTAGACTATTTAATATGTACACAAGAAATTTCTGCACAAGTTACAATTAACTTAATAATAAGTTAATAATAAGTTATAATGATTTAAAAAATTGATTTGTCAAAGTTAAATACTTTTTTCATCTTTTGTAAATGAAAATATGTAAAGGGTCTATATTTCATAAGCACTTGTTGCTTTTCATAGGCTCCTATTCTTAGTCATTACAAATTATTATTCTATAAATTGCAAAGTATATAAGAATGTAATAATGATTATGAATGAAATAAATTGATTGATTGATTGAACTTTGCAGTGAAAATATGGAGTTCATTGCAGTTACATTTAGTTTTATAACATACTACCTTCAACATGCTCTGGAAATAATTTTGACCAGGTTCCTGTATAGTAGGAAGTCCCTCCACCGGCCCAAGGAAAGCAGATCAAATACACACTTGGCTTAGTTCTCTTAAATCTACATCGCAGCCATTTTGAATTCATGACAGATACTCGCGTGCCCGCGGGCCCGCGATCTTGCAATGCAGTTATAATTAACTTATCAACCACGTGACCACACAATTAAAACAAAATAGCAGTCAGTGGAGTTTGAAGTGGATATAAATTGGTTAATAGCTGTTTTGTTGAAAGCTGTCTAGGATAGACTGTTTTTTAATAGACTCAAGCGAAGTTTTTTAAACTTATGGAGGGAATTCACCGTGGACGTGTTGGCGAGTATTGGAAGTTTCAAGGTTTTTGTGTGGTCCCATAAACCGCCATGATAACAGAGAAGAAGAAACAACTTCAAGTTTATCAACTGATCTAATTCCGCCAAAAAGGCTATCTAAAAGCTATATAGTATAAATCATTACAATTTATGAATTATCATGAGTGGGATTGCCAATGACGTTGGAAATCGATGGACCTGCCCAAATGATCGCCAGTTAGGGCTAAGAGCAAAGTGAGTGCAACTAGTGTGATATCGAGAATTTCGCCGCGTTTGATTTGCGGTTCGGAGTCAAAGAATTAGCTATCATAATTCATTTCTTAATTATTAACTGTCGTCGTTGCAGCTGCGAATTCTTCTTAAAAACTCGCCAAAGCTACCGGAAGGATTACCGAGCTGTTGTTTTGAGCATAATCGTAGTATTTTCGCGTTTGAATGAGTACCTTTGGATCTTCCTCCTTCTTGTACTGGCTTGCTGATCAGGCTGGCCTCGACGCTTCGGCATGTGTTACACACCAAGAAAGTTAGCAAAGAAATTCATAAAGAAGACACATTCGAAGCTTCCAGTGTACCTACAAACCATTCTGTAATAACCTTCGGATCATTTCTGTGCTTTTATCATAATATTTTGACGCAATGTGCAGCCAGGACAGCGAATTAAAGCGATTGTAACACCCTCTCATATATTGGTATCTTACTGTGTTTAGGTTGAATTCTGGCTGGTCATTCCACTCTGCTAATCCCGCTAAAAAAGCAACCAAGGCTAACATATCTGAGGCCGAGCAAGAAATCATCAAAGATGTCATTCAGCGATCCGACAGGATACGGCAACAAGAAGAGAACCGAGTTGGGTGAGATATATTCCAAATGTTAATACAACCACATACTATTACTTCCAAGCAATTTGGTTTTCCAGTGTTTGCATGTTTGAAATAGATTGGTCTCATTTATTCACTAAAATGGGATTTAGCGATGACAAAAATGAACYGCTTGGGTTTTGAGTAGCTTGAATGGCACACCATTTTCTTTAGATTTTTTGTGTCATTTTATTTGATTACCCGATAAATCAACCCTTGGATTTACTAATTATGTTTAGATTCTTTTCTTCTTTCGCGGTGGATTTTTTCAGCTCAGCATATTTGCTTTTTCCCTTTCCGTTCAAAGGGCACATCGCTCTTTGCGTTGTAAATGCCAAAATACATTTTCAATAACTCCTTTCACGGTCCAGCGCATTTCAAATGTAAACATCTATTGATAGTGATGGACAAAAAGCGTAATTTTTTGTATTGCCGTAAAATGAAATAAAATATTAATTATCCAAGCAAAGGAAAAACCCAGGTAAAGGAATGTTATTCTATGGTGCACCGCGCGTTGGTTTGGAGAGCGAGTTGTACATTTCCTCAACATCGAAACTAAAACATGTCAATTTCATGATGATTCGCGAAGGTCTCGAACATCAGTTATGTATTACGTTTATTCCATTTTTTTTCAAATGAATAAAAACGTGTGATYATTGCAAAAGCGATCAGCTGAGGAATGGATCTTTTATTCGTTCGTAAACACCTGTGTATAGAACACCCTCACTTGTGGTCAAGCTTATTATCAGCTCCTACCGAGTTTTAAACGTAAGCGGAATTATGTTTCGTTGTTTGTTTTTATTGAATTTCAGAAGTTAAATTCGTCAATTTATTTTGACATTAGGGCGTTCTTTACGTGCAAACACAAACGTGTCAATTATAAAAATGCGATTTAATGGAGAATTCCAAATAAGCTGATTGACCTATTTTCAAATGCCGTCAAAAAGATTTGGATGGACGAAAAATCGGCAAAGTAGTTTCATTAGGACGAGAATTTGCTCAAATCCAACGTAAAAACAGCAATCCTATTACAGTCGTTTGGAGGGATTGATTATCATCCAACCTTTACAAAACCGCCAAACATTGCCATCACTTCGAATAAATGACTCTACGACCATTGGGCAAATTGTTGTACGCTAGAGGATATTTTCACAAATAAAATATTTTATTTTTAGCTTTATTCGGCGATGTAGTCTTTTGGCAGCTGGGCTGTAAAATCTAATGTAATCTTAAGATAAAGATTTTGGAAAGAGCCTTTTAGGGCGATGGTAGATCCAACATATAATTAACGATATTCAGGATACTAGCACATTCTTTATTTTGATATGTCTCTGTACTAAAGGACCTAATTTAATAAATGCAAACATAAGAATTTCCTTTAATGTGTACAATAATTTCTCCTTAGACAACAATGTCAAAAAGTGCTAAAACATCCACAAATAAGTGGAATCATTGAATGTCAAAGTTGGTGGGATTAAAGCTTAGAGTCTAGATTCCAAATATTCATGTATATGCATCAAAATTTTATGAATTTAAAGATTTATATTCCAGAAAATACACATTATTGTCTTTCATTATAAAATTGTCCACACCCCCTACATTGCTTTGCTTCAAAGAGATTAAAGTTTTCAATTATTTCCTAATTCATGCTGTTTATTTTTTGAGTTACCAATTAAAATAACCCTTTGTTGTTTAATTAATTAGGCGTCTTGTGGAGAAGTTGGACAACTTACGGAAAAATGCAATGGGAAATGGGGAAGATCTMTGTCTTCTATGTGCCAGCAAGTTTGGGATTTTAAAGACTGTGGCACGAGAATGTGATATTTGTGAAAAGGTATGTCTCCACAATGGTGATATCTTATCTTTTCCATCACTTTCATGTGTATGTAGAATATTTCTATCCACAATAAGGCATCTAATGGTAAATATTGGTATAGGTTATTGGCGTGTATGAAATATTGATTAAAAATACTGTCTTTTCAATAAAAAAGACGTTTTAAGTGAAATATTACTGGGATATTTGAATATTTTAGATATGTAGGAACATCATCAAGAAGTATATGTAGGATGATAATGATGGTGATCATTAATGATAGCATTCATAATTGTTGTGATGACCAGGGGGACCCCTGTAGTTTTTATGACTTGAATAGCATAATTTGGACACAAATAAATCAATGAGTCAATGCTTTGGTGAATCAATAATGAGAAAATAGATAAATGAAGAAATATATCTACAAATGAATAAATGAATGAATAGAGGTATCAATGAATCCAAGGAATATAAATCAAAATTATTGAATTAAATTAATAGGAAATAAAAGAATTCATAAATAAATTAAAAATTAAGTAAAACGTAAATATAAGTAAATTAGTGACTAAGCAATAAATAAATGAACAAATTCTAAAGAAATATTGTCCAGGTAGTGGTTATCCCTTCTTGGAAGAATAATTATTGGGTATAACTTTGTACTGTCATATTATAATTGATAAAAATACTTCATGTGTGGTTTGTCGCATGGTCATTTTTTTAGTGGCTGCTATTCAGGCTACACTACTATGTTATATTTAGAATAGTTATGTTGCTGGGTAGTTTCATACTAAATCAAACAGTTATAGTTATGTATCTCCAGCAAAACTTTATTAACAAAAAAAACCATGCCCAGCTATGTTATAGTATAGTCTATTAGAAATGCACACCATGTAGTATTTGCCAACAGAATAATAGTTCATACACTAATAGATGATTTCTTGAGATTTTTCTTTGCTTTTATTATTTTTATTCATTATTAGTATATGAATTATTATATTATATTATAATGTCTAAAATGCCAATAAAATGACAATAGTAATCTAATATCTTAAATACTATAATACTGATGGCAATAATGATATATTGATAATTATTTAACAAATAGATCTCATTTTTCCGTGCGTGTGTACTCTAATAGATACACAGATGACGTCAAAATGTAGTGAGAACAAAAAAGTATGCGCGAGACGCAGTCGAGTGCGTGACTGTTGTTCTCACTACATTTTGATGTCATCTGTGTATCTATTAGAGTACACACGCACGGAAAAATGAGATCATCCGTGTATCTATACTTTGATAACACACGAAAGCCAACCAATCAAAACGTCTGATTTTACTGAAAAGTTGTATAAATAATAATAATGATCAAAATAAATATTGCATGAAGCTCATGATATTTTGCATGGATGGTAATGTTGCAGACTATGTTTATTTTAAATTTTTATAGCTATTGTTTATCTACTAAAAATTTCACTATTGTTGTCAATAGCCTTTATATATTAGTTTTTATTAATGATATTAGTGTTTATTGATTTCCTGGGTGCACAGATAAAAGTATTTTAACTGTAGGAGTTCATGAGTAAGTGTAGCAAAGAAATGAATATTAATTGTGTACAAAGAAAAAAGACTAAAAAGATTAAGTGCAACCATCGTTATTTATGTGCTCCAGAACATTCACAACTAATTAACACATATTTTGAAACATAGTTTTTCTCTAAAAACTCAATTTAATTTAACTATGGTGCCTTATATTTTAATTTGTTTAGAGGTATATGGTATGATATGCGTCACAATGTGGGTCTAGTTTTTACAAATTCCAATCCCTTTATGAGTTTCTGAATTCATAGCTGTTTTGAGAAAGCAAAAAAAAGCTATTACATGTAATAATATAAAATGTGAGGGAGAGAGCTCAGGTCTAGCTGCAGGCAAGCRGTTTTAAAGCCCATAAATGTCAGACTTGAATATTTTATTTTGCTTATCAATTTCCAACCTAGATAAAATATTATTCTCAAGAAAAATCTAGAAAGTTTTCTGCAAATCAGGGCAAGTCTCTTGCTCAACATTCTGTCACTGCAATGATTTTCCATAAAWATTTATCATTTATGGATGTCATGACTATAATTATTTATTAATTATTTCACTAAAAATTTCCTAACAGATGTTTACAAAGTAATGTTCAAATATATGATATAGAGTATATGGATATGCATGGCTGCATGGTAATATGGATTTCATTTTCAAGTGTTGAAAAGGTCTCAAAAATCTCCAAACTACCATGTAATATTCTGTTTACTAGTAGTTATATAGTGAAAATAACAGATTCTTCTAAATAGAGAAATATCTAGGCATTTCATAGATTAATCATATGATAAATACTTACCTTATTGAATTTTTTTGAATGCAATCATATGATAAATACTTACCTTATTGAATTTTAATTCATTTTAATGTTATTGATTGTCATGTTTATTTTTTTCAGAATGTCTGTGAAAAGTGTGGTGTGGATACCCACAATAGCATAGGACAGCCAATATGGCTTTGTATGTTATGCAGTGAACAAAGAGAGGTAATGCAATCTTCTGCCCTTAGCAAGGGTATATACACAACCTGTAGGATATATACATGAACAAATTATTAGAAATCCTTATATAACAGTTAGTCATATTGTGGAGAATTCATTACATGATAGGGTTGGGTTCAATAATTAGAACCCTAAATAGAACTGCAAATGGGATTGTGTTAGTTGCCTATTTGGGTTTAAGTTATGAGGTACATGTACACATACCATCAAGAGGACATGGCTGACCTGGACAGTACTCAGCCAGCTATTGGGGAGTGTTTCATACTTACCTAACATTGTGTACATACTAAACATACAAACTGTCAAAACAAGAGTGGSGGGAGGGTTTAGGGGAACAGCTTAAAATCAATGTAAGCTAAAGATTTGTATRATGCAATTTGAGATGTAGGCATCATCCCAACAACATGTTAAAGGATTTTGAGGCAAGGTTTAAAAGCTTTAGAATGCATCTAGTCATGGTGCCATTGCGTTATGGTATAARTGTGATTCTGTTGTTTATGTTAAGTTGTGTGTGGGTTACATCTTGGAAATCAGCTTTAAGAAAGCATGCAACCTTAACATATCTACTCTAATCTGACAAACAAGTCATTTTTTTCATGACTTCTAGTTTATTTTATATTAGGCTTTTCATTTGAATGACTGATTGCAGATTTTAATGATTGATTGTTCTTTGGTTGATATATTGTACACTTAATTGATTGATTGTTCATTTGATGGATTGATTGTTTCTTTGATTGATTGATTGTTCTTTGGTTGATATATTGTACACTTAATTGATTGATTGTTCATTTGATGGATTGATTGTTTCTTTGATTGACTGATTGTTCTTTGGTTGATATATTATACACTTAATTGATTGATTGTTCATTTGATGGATTGATTGTTTCTTTGATTGATTGATTGTTCAATTACTTTTCTACACTTAATTGATTGATTGTTCATTTGATGGATTGATTGTTTCTTTGATTGATTGATTGTTCAATTACTTTTCAATTGATTTATTGATTGAAAGACCCTTTGAAGTAATTTAGAAAAAAATAATTTCCAACCTCCCTGGGATTCAAACCCATGACCCTTGGGTGTGTACTACTGATGTTCTATCAGCTGAGTTACAAGGTCATTTGATTGATAGTTCATTTCCTTGCRTGTTTTGGTGATTGATTGTAACGTAGCAATGATTGAAAAGGTCAATAGACAAAACATGTTTCATTGAAAGTCTTGGTCTTTCAGTGTGTCAAAAGAGATTGTTTAGAAAACAAAAACAAGTTCACATATACCATGAAGATTACAAACTCTTTGATGATCAAATTTAAGAAAATTTCTAGAAAATTTGATTAATTGTCCAGTGATCTGATTGTTAAAATGGCCCATGACAGGTATTAAGCTATATAAGCAGTCAATGTTTTGAATTTTTAATGTATGTTTTCTGTAATTATCCTTTAGGTTTGGAAAAAGACAGGAGCTTGGTTTTTCAAGTCAATTCCAAAGTATACAACAGTAGCAGAGGCAGAACGCAATCGAGCAAACTCTCTTTCAAGAAGTGTGAGTATAGAACCATTATCATCATTGCGATTGAAATAAGATAATAAACCCTGGAATATAGGGAGGAAAAAGCTAGACAACTATGAACTGTTATTTTAGTATAGAGATGCATAATAACTTTTTTATTTATAGACATTGATATCAAAATACAAAATGTACACATCATAGATCATTTGATTTTATAATGGCAAAAAAMAACAACTTCACTTTTCACAATAATACCCAATGAGTCTTAGAGATGTGCTTTCCTAAAGGACAACAAGTTGAGTAAATATCCTTGGGTGGGCAAAATGTTATTTTAGTACATGTTATTTTAAATTTTTTTCAAATATTCATACTTTGAAATTATTGAGCAATTGTCTTCATATATTTATTATTACCAAGGCTATGGTTTCCTGTTATTTAGTTTTTTTATGTCTCATAACTTGGTTTATGAAGTAAAATTGAAAACATCATTATTAAGGCCTTAAAGCCCTAAGGATTTGAAATGTCATAATATTTTGAATTGTAGGATACTGCAGTGTCTGGTCATTATTCAGATTATTATTCTGATGGCAGATCTGGTTGGACGCCCGTTATGCCTAGAAGATCACGAGGTTAGAATGGAATTACATGAATGACACATTGTTTGTTTATTTTTCATTTGTTTTGCTTCTGCTCCATTCCATTGTGTGTMGTCGCCATTAAAATAAAAARCCACAGACAGGTTTTTTTGRCAACCTCAGTTGGATGGCAAACTAATGGACTCTCGGCACAATACATATTTTGACGATGTTTTTCCCAAACCTCTACCGGCGGGGTTGGGGCCCGGAAATTTGACGCGATGAAGCCAGCAATTTAAAAACGTTCTTTGGACCGCTTTAATCCTAGAGGGAGGAAGGGAAATTAGTCGGTGAATATGATACCCCAGCATTCTTCTGAGAAAGTAGTCAAGGAATGTCTCAAAACATCCAATCACGTGCCCAGCTGTTCGTTTATTTTATGTTTTAAGCTAATTTGTAACTATTCTCTTATTTTTKACTTTATTATTTTTAATTCTGCTTTCATTTCTCTGTTCATGAKCCAATATTTATCGTTTCTTTTGGGTTTTGGAACGGTCTCTGTTACATCCGGCATTCGCAATAGTTCCTTAAAAATGACCAAAAAATGACTTTGTCAGAAAAGTTATAGTCCGTGCTCGTGGTTTTCTCGATACTGRGTTTTTAATTTGACTGATGCATATGTAAAGATCTCCGTCTTCTGCCATTGTAGGCGTGTCAACTCTCTGGYACTACATTCTTTAACATGGTCAATTGTTTTTCTAGATCCAGTGGTCAATGGTGATGCGCTGTCATCAATAGCTAACCACAGTGACGATGACGGATCATCCTCAGAAGACGAAATGATTCTTGACCGTCAAAAGCGACCAAGGGCAAGCACAGGCAGTGCATCAACTGCATCGGATGATTTTAGTTTGTACAGAGAAAGTGGTAATTTACTGGATGCACCATCGGATGGATTTCGAGGTCGTACAGGACGCGTATCACCTGCAGATAGAATGATTCTGAAGAAACGAGGTAAAAGTCGTACCAATTGATCTATCTGAGGGTGGAAAGGATGGTATGGTCCCCTTTAGATAACAGTTTATACATAATGAACAAGATGACCGCTGTGACGTATACTGGAAAGTTGCGCACTTTAAAAGGTTGTAAATTTGATGTAATTTACATCACAANGGACAAGCATGGAGGGCTGCTACAAGAAAACTAGAAAACTATTTGTTTGAATACCAGTTAATTTAATATACTTGTGTGTGTGTTCAGGGGGAGTTGTCCTGCATATCAAAGCTGAAGGAGCTGCACTAAAACACTGGTATGAAACTCTGAAAAACCCTAATCAGCTACATATTCAATGGCATGACCTTGAGACCATGACTGTACAGGATGACTAAAGGTAAATCATCTTTATAAAATTTAGTGTCTTATAAAAAAATTATACATCTTTCTAAAACTTATAATATGATTCTCACTACAGGTTGGTGTCTGGATGACTCTAAGTGCTGTTTAGAATTCAATCACCACAAATTCTTTACACTACACACTCAGAATATAATTATTGTACTAGTTTTATGAATAGAACATTTGCTTGAGGGTCTCATTTCACAGACACTGCCAGAATGCCCTTTTCATTTTAGTAAACAAATTTATTATTTTCTCAAKAGGAAAGAAAGTAACATTAAAACATCACAAACAAAAGTGCTTAAAATGGTGCCTTTAAGTAAATGGTCTATGGTTATGCTTAATTTTTGCTATTCAATACACAAGTATTTTATGGGTATGATGTTACCATACTTTATTTRGAGAGCCATTCTTCTTCTAACTTTGCAGTTGGTAAAGAAAAGTGGCTCTGTCATTGAGTAGTCTTATAATATACTAGCCTCTTTCATAGCCTGGGAAAGGGAGGGACAAGAAGCATAATATAAAGAGGTATTTGCATATATTCACTAAAGAAATATAAGACAGCGTTGAAAGCAGTAACAATATTATGTATTAACTTATTAGCATGTTAACTGTGAAACAGTTCTTTTTAAAAACAGGCAATTACCATTCAGTATTTTAATAAGCCTTTGTTTGCCCCTAACATAAGTTTATATTAAAAAAAAACAGTGTATTTATTAAGGAAATTATTAAAAAGAAGACATATTGTAATAATTAGAGTGCTTTCAGCATAAGCATGTAACATTTTAGTAACACTAATTGTGTACTATGTTATGCTAATTCGTTTCTATTTCTGTTGTCCAACTTTTTTGCAGTTATTACTGAATGTTTGTGCTTTTACTGGATGCATTCTTGTTAGAGTGGACACACTAAACCAGTCAAACGTTTGTTGATGGAATGAGATAGTGTATTCACTCTATAATCATGATAACTATTATCATCTTTATCAAGGTTTCTATTGGTAGATATTGTGGAACCTTCATTTTAATTGTTGCTGGGGACAATTATTATCTTTGCGATGATAAACACAACTAGTAAGTTTTCCAGGGTTTAATACTAGAGTATTTTATAAAAATTACTAGGAATAATTTCAGTTGCATTTATTTATTCATTTGCAACTTTTCAAGTACTTTTGGACATGTAATATGTTGTGTGCTCTTGTACATAATGGACCCATAAATCTTATAGTGGAAATGTGCAAAGAAATAGGATTTCACCAAAAGTCATGGAAATGTCACTGAATGATATCAGGAGGGAACATCTCCATATAACCACCCACTCTTTCCTAAGGTTGTTTATCTACATCATTTGTGATTGAAAGTCAAACAGCACCAACTGATGTCATTATAATTGTACATGGTGTAGTTCACCTCAAGATCTGCAATTAAGTATAAACTATAAAAGAATTAACAATACAATGTACATTTGGCTTAAAAAATCATACAGAACAATGACTAAAATCATACGTTAGCTGTTCGTAATTAGTGGTTTTTATAGACCCATGAAACTGTGCTGAATAATGTACAGTAAATCACAGTATAGTCATAAAAAAACGTCTAGAGTACAAACATTAAATGTGTGCAACACTTTCCACTATTTACTACAAAATAGTGTTAATTAAACAATAGAAAACAATAGAATTAGAATAATTTAGCAGTATTTAGTGGTATTTATGTTGCACAGTTTTAGTGTTATACTCTAATAAGAGGTAATGTAATGTGGAATAAAAGTGTCTTTCATGGGTTTATACTAACTGCTCTCAATGCCAAAAGTTAGCTGCTTGGCTTTGTCTTTCATGACAGGTTGAATGATACTGATTGACGGAATAGCCAAAATATAMACTCAGTCAACAGTAGAGTCCACTAAAACCATGTAAAATGTTAGTAATGAAGTAGTGCGCGAAGCATGTGAATTTCTTTATTTTCTATTGCTTAATCTCCTCCATATTGCACTCACTACCCAGCACTATTTGGTTAGTAATATTTTCACTCCACAAATGATAGACTTAAAATAATTATATACAAATTATATGTAAAATGCAAGTGTCAATTGGTCATTCTGAAATTCAAAAAGAGACTGCCACCTAGTCACACTTTGAAGTAACCAAAGTCCATGACTAGAAAGAGCCTTTTAAAATTAGTATAACTTTAGAGTTTGAGGATATTTGGATTAATAAYAACAGACTGGCAAGTGTTTAAATTTTAGAGAAAAAAATTTGACAAAATAATAATGTATGGTGCTTCTGAGCAGCGTCCCCTAAAAACCATACAACTCTCTTATTTTAGCTTTGCAGATGTTATTAGTATGAGTCATACAAATGATACTAATAACATTTGGAGGAGGCTGTCTTTTTTTTTTCAACATTTAAAAGAAATTGTTAATTGGTGAGTATTTAACTAAAAAAATTGTCTCAAACTTGAAAATTGCACTTGTCTACTAACTAATAACAAGTTGACCATTTTCATACTCTTTCCCAGTCACTTTTTCAATTTCAGAAAGGCCAATAGGAATGAAAACAAAATTATAAATGAGCTAACATAAGATGTGTGCATACAACTCTTTTGGCTGCTGAGCCAATGCCTACTTCTAGTGTAAGAACTYGGTGGTAATAGCCATTAATTGAAATATTTCCATATGAATGTGATTATTATGTAAAAATATAAGTTAAAATAATTATCAATTCAATATTTCCAAGTACAAAAGGGTATCAGATTAAATAAAAAAAGCTTGATTTTGTGAWTGAGTCATGAATTTCCTTCAGATGATCCTAGTATATAAATGTTAGGGAGATTTGCCTCGTTTCAAAGTGGGAGAAAATGATAACATACTCTGCGAGAGAATATAATTTATCCTTGAAAAATGGGAAGGTGCAACAAAGAAAGAAAGAAAAGAAAAAACATCAGAGGAAGGATATTGGGCTGGGAACCGGGAATTAGACAATGAATCTAAATTTAGACAACTGATAACAGCTAGACAACATTGGATTGAGAAAGCAGAATATATGCCTCAGGCTACAATCGGTCATTWACTTAATATATTCTACACTCAAACAAGCCTTCATGATTATGTGTATAACATAATCATGATGGATGTTGAAATGGATCAAAATTTAGATAAATGATGCCAGCCAGACAACATTGGATTATTATATAGAGCAGAATATGTGCTTGAGGCTACAATCATTTCACATACACTTATATTCTGCACTCAAACAGCCTGTCATGATTATTAGTATAACACAACATAATGATTGATGTGTGAACATTCATAACTCAAACCTGCGGCACTGCAAGGAAGGAATATTTTACCTTTCAATAGTTTCAATAGTTAACTTTAGATATTTTGGTTCAATGACTATATTGTACAAAAGGACGCACACGAGGCTCGGGTAAAACAATGGATAATCTTGATTTATTCGACTTTTCCCCGGAGCCTCATCTGCAATTCATTTGCGTATGGTCACTGAACCAAAATATCTTAAGTTGGCTATTGTTTACTTCATATAGAATCATCTAAGCATGCTTCATCTAAAAGCTCTGCAAAAATCTAGCAAGTTCCACTAAACATTCGTACAGATATGAATTTTTCAAAAATGAAAATTCAAGAGAACAGAGAAATGTGTGGTAGGGGGTATATTTATGGAACCTCTACAGATTTTCATTAATTTGCTAGAATAGTAGTGAATATACACATCTTCATGATAAAACATAAACTGTAAGATCCTTTGGGTCATTTTAAGTTTGGTTGGAAAAAAAGGCCTTTTGGATGCATTCAATTGTTTYGGGATCAATAATATGTAGATTTTAGTTAATAAATAATAAACCAGGAAGAAAGTAATATGTTTACACGTCAATATATACATCAAATATAGCAGGATTCAAGTAATACTTTTATTTGTCCTATTTTACAATTATTTTAATTTTTACAAATTTTTAAATGGCATTTTTTTATCCCTAATCATGCATAACATTAATTTATCGTCAAAAATATCAGTACCTAAAGATTGATTCCAATTTTTCTAAAAGTGATTTTTTTATGTACTTATTATAAACATGTTAATTTGTACCTGGAGTATTAAAAAGTGTTCAGGAATTATGTTCAGAGATAAAAGAGCATTTAAMATTTTAATGGGAACACCAATAGACCAATCCCTCATTCGCTTGGGTGAACACAAAACAATGGCTTCATTTCGAGGCTGGAGTTTTATCTTTTGTTGAAAACTCCAGCTTCGAAATATAGGCATTGTTTCGTGTTCATCCAAGCGAATGAGGRATTGGTMTTAACGCTAATTGTAACTTGGATGTTACAATTCTTGTCCAATCACTAGTAACTTGCTCATTGCAGAAATAACACCTAAAACTGGGMAGGAAGACTTTGTTCAAGATTGTTCAAATAAAATAATTGATAATGAAGAGCAAATAAATTGATTTAACAATTTAAATTTTGGCTTGGCAAGATAAGTGATGTGGCYTTTGGATTTTACTTTTCTTGGTCTAGTGGGATATTTTGAAAACCTGCTACAGCATACTACATGTGAAACTATTTTCAGAAACAGACTTTCTTCCCAGGAATACTTCTTGAACAAGACCTAACCATATCAAACAATATTATATATTTCTAAAACTTTTCTAAAACGTTTTTTTATTATTATTATTTCACTATAATATAATTACAAATTRCAAAATTTACACAACTAGCTAATTACTTTAGCAGCTGGACAAATTTCATGAAAAAAATTAGAATGTCAGATAGTAACTATGTTGTGTAAAAACACCATGAAACTGCACTGCTCAATGTTACTATGTTTCCTATTTTCATAGTCTGCACTAAATTAGTACTTATCACTGATGTTTTTTTCACTGATTGATTGGTCATGTGATCTAGTCAATGACAATGTCGATGAAAGAAGAAGAAATGACTGAGTTTAGATATCATTATTTACACCTATTTGAAAAACCAATGTTGGACACAGAAACTATCTTAGTTGATAAAGCTAAGACTTAAAGAAATTGTACAAGTTTGTTTTAAGAAATGTGAATCACAATTTCCTAAACATTATGAAAAAAGGGTACTAGAGTTCTAGTGTTTGAGTTAACCACAATCAATAAGTCATTGAAAGGCATCTGGTTACTAATTATTATAATCATTACAAATGCTAAAAATATGAAATCTGTACATTTCTCAAACTAACGCAATATATTGAATGATAACTATAGAATGATAATTGTAAAACTCAATTAACTTGAAATGTTCAAACTATCTTTTCCCTTTCATTTTGGTACAACTACATTGCTATGGCATGCAGCCTACAGAAAAGTAGGACTGATTGAGTGACATGGTAGATTTATGTAAAAAATATTGAATGCAATATCTCAAAAAATCCCCCCTCAAGTACAAGACTGTGCGTTATTAAGGACACTCACCCTACAGTATCTCCCTACCCAAGGACAAAAACATTATCAAACATAATAATAAATAATAAAATATAATTATTCAAAAGCATGCAAAGTTGCATTAATCTTGCATAATACATTTTCCTAGTGTTTTCTATATATCATAGCAATGCTCCAGTTTCAAAGGATCTTTTTGTGCAGCCTTAGCCTTAGACTTGCTACAAGGCAGACTCTCTTTGGACTCATAAAACGAAAGAATAGAACTCCGAGCGCGAAGCACGAGAAAAAAATAAGCGAGCAAAGTCTACCTTAGCCTCAATATCACACAATGCAACAAGGTTTTGATATTATATTATAATAAAAAGAATATCATTTTTATGATACGTTTGGGGCTTAGGCTGCATGGATAAGATATCGAAGCTAGAGTACATTTGTTCAATATTCATTTCTATTGTTTTACCAAAAATTAAGAAAGTCAGGTTTTTGCTACTGCTGCCTCTCAACACCAATTAARAATTATTATAATGACATACCAATCTAAGAGAGGTTTTCATGCTGACATACCACATCTTGTATAAAATACCAAGTGCAACCTGCTATGTTTTGAGCACAATTTATATTACAATTTTCAGTCAAACTCAATGTTGAAAAATATTGAATGAAAATATCAGGATAATTTGCATCAAAATGAGACACCTGTAAGCCTGCAGTGATAGATACTGTGAAATAATTATTGTTGGTGTGAAAAAGGTATCTATTACATAACTCAACTCGTTTTTCACTTTGATGCAAAAATCAGCCATTTTTCGAGATGGTATCTACTTCACTTATGGCATTAACTCTAAAAGTCTCTGGATCACCAACATTAATGTCACCATGAAGACCGTTTTCAGAATGAACTATTTATGTTATACTATCAATATTAAAGTACTAGACATATGACCTTCATTCAGTTGCCTGACTTTGGTCTGATGTAACTACACTAATAAGTACAGTGATGTCATCTGGTTTTCCACCAGTTATCTGCAAACCTTCAAATTTAGCTTGCTTTGCAAAAGGAGAGTCATAACTTGGGTCAAATGCAAGACACTTGGCTTTTGTGGCAAGGTTATCTGCTAGTAACTGAATGTTTTCTTTGTCAAAGTTCTGTGGAAAAAAAGGAATTACAAAAAACTAAGAATTATGCTTTTAAAGGATTTTAGTTATTAAATGCTGCAATATTTGTTTGAGAGTATAACTAATATTGAATTTTGGTGTACAAACARAAAATATTCAAAATGTTTCTCAAAATATTGCCACCCATTTTTATTTTATTTTTTATTTTTAACTTGGAAAAGAATGCAAAGATTGTAATAATTGCACACCAAGTGAATTACTACTATCAAGTGCAGTGGTAAATTCATCCCCTGCACGCATACAACATCTCCTTTGTGTCWATTTTTTGTAGAGTGCATCCACTCCAGGAGTAACCTACACTTCCTTTCCTGGAGATCTTTAGCTCTGAAATTTGAATCTACATGTACAATTTGAAATCATAGATATTTATACCAACCTCTAATAAAGATGCTTCTTCAACTATTTGGTCTGTTGGTAAATTATCAAATAAACCATCTGTACCCATGACTATGAGATCATCAACTTCWACTTGAAATGATGTACTGTCTGCTTCATCCAAACTAAAAACAGAACAATTGAATGGTTCAGTTTCACCTTCTGTTCAAGAGGATTAGAAAARTATTATCATCATTCTCRTTATGCACAGATACCCCTTGAAGATACCATCTTAGGTGTTACTGTGGGCAAAAATACTTGAAAACACCCTAGAGATAACACTAAACTACTTATTTTTACCCTAAAAAAAATTCTGACTATCACTACATTACATCTGCAGCAGCTTGTGATTTATTTAGTACTATTTAATGTATGTTAAGCTTGTTTTCTTGTAATGTATGTTAGCTTTAATCCAGTATTCTATCTTCATCCCTCACTCTATCTTCATCATTTCACAAAACCCTCACTCTATCTTCATCATTTCTAAGAGTATTGTATAATTATATCATTAATCCAAAATTCTTGAATTATTAATTACAATAATAAATATTATCTATAATCATCTACCTGTCTTGTATGACTCGTCCGTCTTGTCCTGGTGGAGGAATAGCTAGTTGATATGGAGTATTAAAGTAATGCTGTTGGTCTGATGATTGGTGTACTATATGACCTTTTCTTATGATTACAAAGCCAGAGTCTCCTAAATTCATAGAGTGCAATGTCTTGCTGTTTTTATCTAGTACTACAATACATGCAGTGCTGCTTCCTACAAAACAAATCAAATGTACAAACATAAGGCAAAAACAGAATAAGAATTTAGAAAAAAAATTAGAATTTTCTAGCAGAAATGCTTATCAGATTAGAGGAGATACGACAAGTGGTGAAAAGCAGACTGAGGAGACATAAGAGAATCAAATAAATCACAGCTTTGGAAATGAATTATGAATCTTTACATTCAACATTTAGTGAATCAGGAATATCAGTACTAGTAGAAATCATGATACAAGACAAAATTCTACTGGTCATCATGAAGTGACAAATGTTTGCTGCAAATAATGAAACAATAAATAATTCAACTTTCATCTCCAATCCACTTCTTAACCAGACAAKATCTATTTTATCAGCCTAAGGGCGTACAGACCTTGTCTGGCAAACAAGATTATAATCAAAATTGTGGTCTGATGTCTTAWATACATGTACATGTATTAAACCAAAATCTTCATTTTGCCATTCCTTAAAAATTCTACATGTGAGCTGTACAAACAACCATTGCTTAATTGCTTCACTTATCATCGCATTCATGTCATAAGGTCAATCTCTTTCCAACTATTAAAAACCAAGATATATATTATCACTGCATGAATACATGACATCTTTTGACGTTTAACATTACCAAAAACAGAATCCTTGAGTTCTGTCATTTCTTTAAAAGCACTTTTAAGAATAGCAATAGGTGATTGTAAATCCAGACCACCACTAATGACAAATTTTCTGCACCCCTCCATCAGAGAACTTGCAAACTTGGATGAATCAATGCCATATTGACGCCAGCCTCCAACTCCATCTGCAACCCCTAAAACAAGGATGTTTGRAAAACTAATTATATCAAGCACAATTATTAAAGCAATGCCTACATGTATTTATATTTGTACAGTACAGAGACAAATATCATTTCAAAATTTAAAGATCAATTATAACATGAATTCATTTTTAATACAAAAATAAAAACCTTACAGCGGATCAAAATTAATAATATAACGTTAAAGCAAAGCAAAAAACATTACAATCAACCAASCTTGTTATTTATTACGTCAATTAAWATTTAAGCTAAATAATTAACATTCTCTAAACTTCTGTCGTCAAAAACAGAGAATTCTAGTGCAGTTAAAAACAGCAGCCTTTGTAAACCTGTCTCGTTTTACTTACTTTTACTACACTACACTATCTAAAATACTTTTCAACAAAAATAAAATCACCCTGAAAAGACTTTTAGGACAATAGTAGAAGATAAAAGTTCGATCTGGGTCAACAACGTTTAAGTTTATATACTGTATGATCAATGCAACGATATGACAAATAAAGAGAGCAATTCGTATATCAGAACATCAGTAAAAGACCGAAAATGGAGAAACATTTTTCATTAGAAGAAAACACAATACTACTTGAGCCTTAAATAACATAATTGACACAAAGAGGCGAAGGATTCGAGACAATTCGATTTCGTAATTTTCTATACACGTGATATTATTCGAAGCTTCCCGGGGAAGCTTCCACGRTCGTTTTTATTGGCAACAATTAGAAGTTGAAGCAAACACATTTAGGACCATGTAAGAACACATATTCTGCTGAATGGATTTTATACTTWAACTACTACAAATTCAATTAATTTACCCCCTAACAAAAACACTTGCAAACCTCCTTCGCGAGTTGGAAGGGTACGGAGGTTAGCTTACATCATAAACCATAAACATCGTTTATAGAAAAAATACTGTGCATGCAAGATTTCAATACTCACCCATAACACTGYTCTGCCTGTTATCTGCAACAAAGTAAGCATCATCTCCGAATACAAACTTCCTCGCAGGTGAATTCAAATCCTTGGAAAATCCACAACAAACTGCGACAAGACGAACTCTCGCCGGGCCAGTTTGCTGGCCGAGAATTTGACCAACTGCTTGCCGAGCTTGCGAACAGAAAAAACGACCATAAACTACACACGTCTGCATTGCCATTTGAAAATCACAAAGGGATTTCTCACTACATGGGCTCTGAAGGGTTTAAAAGGAGAAACGAAGRRAAATCCACAAGMTCTTCACATCGTTACACATGCACTGTACAACGACATACATACATAACATCAACATTCTACCCATCATGCACTGTAATCTTTTTTTTAGCAGGGAGGAGAGGGAGGGAAGTGTCTTTGTAATGAATAAAACAAATATATGAAATACTTTATTTAGTCTCCTCTCGCAGCCGTTAGGACGTTCGTTCCCAGGTCACTCCCCTGGGAACGAACGTCCTAACGGCTGCGAGAGGAGACTATACTTTATTTATAAATTGAAGAAATGACATGTTGTAGAATTAATAATAATAATTATTAATAATATACATATATTTTTTGATAAAAATAGAAGTGCACTTCTGAAGTAACATTTTTATCAGAAAACATTATGAAATGAAACTCACTAATAGTGAGAAATAATTACGTACAAGGCTAGATAATTAGATTTTTTCAAAATATATAATTTTTGAATATTATAAAATTGTTGATATTAAAAGTGACCGTATTTATTTTGGATTTTTTTACAGATGAGTTTATAAAAGGTATGAATGCTGGGTATGAGTGCATGTTTCAGGGTTCATACAGATTCCAGAGTTAAAATTTCCTTAACTTTTTCAAAACTTTTCCCCAGCCATCAACCTAAATTTCCAAAACATATAAAATACAATTCTGTCCATGATGCTCGTTATTGAAGGAAACCAGCTGGTATTTTTAACAAATTGACAGGACAACAGAAACTTTCTTTCAAAAGTGGGATGTCTAGAAAAAATCCAAAACTTTTCCATAGCCCAATGTTCAAAAAATAGTTTTTCCAAAACTTTCCAGATCCTGGCAAAAGGAATTTTGATTTCCAAACCCTTATGTCTACACATGGAATATCCTCTATTTATCATAATTACTGTATCTATGAAATACCTATATTTTTCCATTTTGTAAAGTTGATATTTTCTTTAGTGAAAATAACACATTCGAGGTTTCTCTATATCATGGAAGTAAGAAAAAAGATATTTTACGACATAATTTGCTTTCATAYGTAAGTATATGATAAAATGAATAATTTACATGATCGCTTGGAGATATGAATTTTATCTTCGAGTRTTGAAAATCTCTCACTTGTTCCCTATGCTCACTTGTGAGAGATCTTTTCAACACTCGAAGATAAAATCGGTATCTACGCTTATTTGAGACTAATACCACTGTAAAGTGATTTTCAGATGACGTACAAAAAAACAAAATCACAGAAATATAAGGACAGTCCCTACAAGGAATATGTTAAAAAACTGCATGCTTTGCATGTAAAAGGAAATCCCACTCATTCATTCATTTTCATTATTTGTAAGTTTAATACATATCACATATACAGTCAACTCTCGCCTTAAGGACACCCCACTATGACAGACACCTCAATATTGCGGACAGTAAAATAYTGAATCCCCGGCAAAAAAATACAAAGAAATGACTGAAAGTAAACTAGTTACTACGGAATCTTCCTACTGTGGACACTAAATAGCAAGAGTTGACTGTATATAATATAATAATACATTATGCTGACCATATTATGGATTATGGTCGTCCTACAAATCCTATGCTGTATTGATACAGTCACATGACACTATGTGCTTACTATTAGTGGAGAATTCTCAGTAGGAACAGCTGGAGTCAACATTGTCTTAATTGCTTTAAGTTTTCGATTCCTATTGATAAGAAGCACTAGCAASATCAATGGGATAATAATCAAGACTGTTCCAAGAATGATGGATGCTAATTCAATGTAGTGTGCCACAGTAATTGGKRTCAAGACTTTTTCTTTTATCATCTTTGCTTGGCTGCTGGTWATTGTTGCCGTCTCATTGATGTACATGACAGGAAGAAACAACTTCCTGAGGTTCTCAGTTTCCCCAATGTGCTTCACTGGCCCCATTAAGATATTGATTTGGAGACGTTTGGCACTCTTTAATGGCAGTCCCAGGTGGGGCTCTACCTGAAGTATTGTACCATGCTCTTCCTTATTCGGTGAAAGACCATAGACATTATCAGTGAGAGACTTAGCACCTTGGTAGAAATGAGGTGCAGAAACAAAAATAGGTAAGGGCAATGATACTTTCTGGCAAACCCCAACGTCTAGAATACCAGAAGGGTAGCATTTTTTTGTACAGAATGCTTTATTATCAGGATTGAGAGTTGCATTGAGAAACACCTCCTTTGGAGTTGTAAATATCAAAGTATCAATTCCATGGACTTTAGATGAACTGTCATAAGTCAAATATAATGAGCGGCAAAGCTGTGTGACAAAGACATACAAAATACTGTTTTTGTTCTGCTGTGGTGGAAACTGGGAGCCATCACTTCCATTCAACATATTGGCATATGAGGTATTCCATACCCCAACATCAGTATTTCCTTTCCAGCTTTTCCATTTCTCAATCAAATTAATATCCTGGGCACCTGTATGCACAGCTGTAACCCCCTGKAATGTGTCATTCTGTTGTAACGCAATGGTTGGATTCACATCAGGAAGATTGAAGAACTTAAGGGGAAATTTGCTTTTCAATTTTTCGTATTCTTTAAGCAATGGGTCTTGGTATCCCCAAATTAATTCTTGGACAGTTCTGGTTTGAAAAATATCTTCTTTGCTAACTCGTAGAATGAAATCAACAAACTCCTTCCATTTTAATATGTCTGGATATTTATTGATGACATCAGCAAGTGTCATGACTGGAATATTGAGGTTTGTAATTTGATCTTTGAAAGGATCACATCCATTACAAGAAGTCGCCACATCAAATACAAACCACTGTCGTTCATTATAGCTCACAGTGGCATTCTCGTTATGCCAAGTTACATTCTCTTTAAGCCTATGCTCTTTGTAGGAATAAGGTCCTTTCTGGATGACATAMGGCTTTCCTCCATTTTTTACCTCGTCTTTATTTTCAACATTGAAAAGRAAGAACTGTAAGTAAATGGGTACATCAGGCGATTTCCACTCTTTTAATGCGTTTGAAGTCGGGCTTAGAACAAGCTGAGAATTGATTTTATTCTGAATGAGTGAATCTATCAATGGATAACAGGTAACGCMAGCCAAAATCAACAGGATTCCTACAGTGAAAATCACTGCTATTTTTTTGCCACCATGAATACAGCTAGTATCTTTTTCTGTCRCCGCCATTTCGTATAAACTGCAATGTTAGATATCAGAGTTTTTTTCACATCGCTTTGCGTGACATGTTATGTAAGTTCGTGACAGCGGAACCGTCTTTTGTGATGCAATTTTTCAGTTTCCTTCCAGCCTTGCAGGAACCATTAGCGATCTAACTTTTGATTTTCACTGCTGAACAAGAAAACAAAACAAAAAAAAACACTCTTTAGAGTAAGTCATAGGTATAGCAAAATAACTAGAAAAACTTCAAAAAAAAAAAACTACAAGAACGTTATAAGTTAACTTAGCTCAAGTTGAGGTAGGTTTACGCAATGAGCGCTCACAAAGCTTATTTAAGCAACTTTACACGTAAAAATTATCTATAGTGTATAAGGCTACCAAATAAAAGAAGTTTCATAATAAGACTCACCAAAGATAYGCACAAAAGAACGTATTTCAAATAGAGTATCTTCTTTCCACAGTTTCCTGTATGAACTCGGACTTTCTACACGAGACGATCCCGCACAAGAACTAGAGATCAGGTGATCTTAACACAGGAATCCCAAAATCTTAGTGGTGAGAGCTCAAATGTTAGATTCTACTTGCGCTTTTATGTGATAAAAAAACTATTCGTTTACAAATGTGGTATCTGTGATCTCATCGGAATGCATCGGGTGAAATGTATACCCTGTTTAAGACAGCAAGGCCAAAAACCATACCCTGGCCAGCGGCACGTCCCCGTATAKCAAATATATGGGAGTACCCCATATATGAAGTCGTTGCATCCGTTGCAGAGAGAGTAGCTGGAGGAATAAGCTGGAGTAGTCTCCTTCGTGTCGGTCTTCCTGTCCCTCCCCTCGGGGGACAGGAAGCCCGACAGGAAAACGGATGCAAAGGAGACAATGCAGATATTCGTACATCTATACGTTTGAGCTTCCGGTCATGTAACAACATAGCCAACCCAATTGTTATTATTAAATTAATTAATTATTGAAAGCATTAGGCTAATGTTTTCAAGTTTATGACTCCAAGTTGGCGCGACATAAATCAGCTCGTAAACGTAAACAGATCTAGAATATTCCAAAGTGTGTCAAAAGCACCACAAAATGATTTTCCTCGAAGGTAATACTTTCAAAGTCCGTTAGAGGTGAGACTGTTACTGCGCATGTCATCCATTGACAGTGTCCCTTTAA